TTAGTGTTAGATGTTTCAGGTTACCTATTTTCTTGCTTGCAGAAGAAACCATGACTTTTTAATATTTTTTTTCAAAGCTTATACTGCTAAATATATATATATATATATATATATATATAACTGATTATTCTGCTATAAGGGCAGAAAAAGAGTAATAGAGCTGGTAAAAATATTTACTAAGTTTACAAAAAAAAAAAAAAGAGAGAGAGCAAAAATGTTTTGCACACTGTTATATAAAGGAGTAGATTATCATGACCAAGCAAATGCAAAACCGTTGCAGTCATTGTCACCCATAAAGACCATGACCTTTGTGATCAGCTTCTCCACCCTCCAAGAACAAAAAAATATCAAGCAATTGACAGTGTCCAAAAGCATATTGCAACAGCATTTTATCTCTGGAACACCCCCCCTTTTTTTATTTTTCAGCGTTTTCAGTGTAACTTTTTCACATCTTCAATAGTCAGCAGTTTTTACAATGGGTTTTTGAAAGGGAAAATTGAGTCCAGGAAGTCCAGCATGATTTAAAACTGTTGGTTTTCACAAAAATGTGTTTAAAAAAAAAAAAAAAAAAAAAAAAAAAACAAAAAAAAACACCCTCAGAGCACAGGATTTTAGCCTAGCATAGCTTAGTGTTTTCCCTCCAGCATAAAGAAAAGAGTATATTCATACACAATACAAAACCAGTCCTGGCTGTGAATGTATTAAAAATATAACTATGTCAAATCTAAACATAATACAAAAATGACCACATAGCATGCCAGAGTTCAAATAATAATGGTGCTCAATTGCCAGCTCTAAGGATACAAAACCCTGAAGTCCAAAGCAAATGCAAAAAACACATTTTTTTTTCAGAACTGCTTATTCAAAGAAAATTTTGAGACTGAAAAACTCAGAGGAATTTGGATACAATTCTGGGTGAATTCATCTAAAGCAGCATTTATGAGCTGGGGAAGTCTTAACCTAACATCCTATGGTATTTCAAGATTGGCTGGCTTGCTGGTTTGATAGTGATTTTTCAGCATCAGCTGCAGGGTATGATTTAAAAGCGTGTCTGCAATTTCTGGAGCGTTGTTTCAAATGGGCACAGAATTCTGGCTGAGAGGCAGTAGTGCTTTGGTGCAGATATACTAAATTATTTGAGAGTTTGGAGCCTTTCTGGCCAAAGACTCACCACATAAAACAAAGGAAAATTATCATATCTTTCCTTCAATTGTTTCATTAGATATATTTTTTTCATATAAAATGTGCAGAGGATGCCACATTGTACAGAGCAATGCACACAGGGTTCACCAGCTATGATTAGGTTTCATGTATATTTCTGTCCAGTTTCGGGGAGGGGAGGAGAGGGAAGCTAGGAGGAAGCAGTATTTGATCCATATTGCTCTCTGGCAAACTTCTCAGAAACACCAAGGAAATAGTGTTAACCCAACTCCAAAACAGAAACTCTGGTCAACTGAGAGGAAACACAAGGATGCTTGAAGAACCTCCTGGGTCAGGTAGGTGAAAACATGTGCGTGGCTTCTAGAGATGAAAATATCCCACTGTTATTTCTGATTTATAAATTAAGTCATTGTCTAAAGAGTTCATTTCAAGGCTTTGGGGATTTGAAATCTGTACCCCTTTTTAAAACAAAAAAAAACAAGAGGTGTATCAGGTGATTAAGGTAAACATCACAATTAAGAAGGAGTGCAAAAAGTTTGAAGTCTTTTTTAATTAATCCCTAGTCACTGTTAGGTTTTCCCAATCAACATAGTTAGAACTGGTTTTCATTCTTGAGTGAACAGCACATAGAGTGGAACTGATTTTATTGTCCACATCCCATTGATAGCCTCTCAACCAGAAAAGAAGAAAAATCACTTCTCACTTCATGAAGCACCTTTGAAAATGAAGGGCTGGAACAATATAGTCTCAGTATGTTTCTTGCAAAGACTTTGACAGTATGTGTGTTTGACACCCTGCTTCATTTGCAAAGTTGATGCCACTTATTCATCCAAAGATAATTAAATTGTTCCATAAAATGAATGCTGAAGAGTGTGAATTTGTCAGTGTCATCTGTCCTCCTGGGGGTCATCCTCATTGCGTTGTCCGGGTGATTGTAAGGGCACAGCCTGTAGCAGGGAGAAATCTAAGGTGCACCACCCCATGGCACTCCTGAGGCCAGTAGATCAGAGACACACAGACCATAGTTCTTTCTCCAGACGGTTTCAGCTTGAAGTTTATCAGAATAACACTATTTTTTCTCTTTATCGTTCCCTACCAAGCTTGCATAAGTCAGCAGCTATGAGGACACTGACTTGCAGTGTTCTTGAGGCTACGGGCAGGCCTTGTTCAGCAGAGAACAGTGTTTGGCAAATGTTCTCCATATCCTTTCCCAGAGTCCATCTTTAATTAAAGAAATTTGCATAGCACTGTTGGTAGGAGCTTTTTACTTCATTAGGGTCTGCAGCAGATCACTTCCACTGAACTCTGCAGCAGCAGTTGTTCCTGGAAATTGCTGCAGACAAGTTAACCACAAAAATACAGACTTAGTAGAAAATTATAGAAGGAATAGTAACAAATAAATAAGTAAATTAGGCTCTTGGTAAAGAATCTTCTTGTGTTGTTGATGTATTTTTTTCTGAGGTGCAGATATTTAACTATTAAAGCATACTTTAGGGCTTTACTGCAAAGTGCATAATGAGCCAACTGTGTTTGCAAGCTGATAAGCTCCATGCAGAGCACTCTGTTTCCAGCCTACAAAAATGCTTATGCATCTGAGCAACCCAGCTGAAGTCACCAAGGTTTCTTGTATGTCCAGAGCTAAGCAAACATCTAGCCTTAGTTACCTAGGACTCAGCCTGGTAGCAGAAAATTAGCAAATTTAGAAAGTTTTGGAAATACTAAGTGACCATTGTTGGCAATTCATTGTTATTTGGCCTTTTCCATTAAGCAATAATAAAATTTGCAGCTAGGAAGAGATGCATTTATTTGCAATCCAAAGTGATTCCTAAGAATGTCTTTGTTAATGCAAGAATTAAGGGCAATTAATTGCAAACAGTGCAGGAAAGAAAACATCAAAATAATATTCTCAGAGCATTCTTTCACCCTGAACTTCAAACTTGTCAAGCAAGAATTATTTTTACGAGCAATTCACAGTGGAAAACTGTAAACTGGAGATTTCAGGCACATAGACAGACTGAATAAATCATGGCTTTGTTCTTTATTCCCCAGAAGGGCAAGCAGTGCTCTGTTAAAACACACTGGTTAGCAGCTGTCAACCAAGCTTTTCTGGCAGTTATCCCAACCACAGGTGAAGAATGACACAGGCCCCAAAAGGTGCAAAAGCCACGAGTTTTTAATAAATCACATACCAAAATATAGCATCTGGTAAATGGATAGAGGGTGCCTCACACACCTGTATCAGTTGGGGAACCCTAAATAAGAAGGAAGTCAGGCCTAATAAGTTGGGCCTCTTGACTTCACACCTCCATCATTTTATAGGATTCAAGGTTCCCTCCTGCAGCCTGCTGCCACACCTTACGCCTGTGAGAATCAGCCTTTAACCCTTCTCCATGTCAGGTTTGGCCCACTTATAGCAGAAATAACCTAAACCTCCACATTGCTCAACTCTAACCTACCTAGCTAACTTGCTGTTAAACCACTCTGACTCCCTGTCAGCCAGACAAATTTGCTGTCCTGGGAGCTAATCCTCAGCAGTGTGGACATGAGTGACTTACTCAAATCAGAAATCAGTGCCATTCTCTTCTTTCCTTGCTAGCGCTATGGAGATAGCTATGCTTCCTGTAAACTGTGGCAAATTTAGATGCCACTCCTGTCTAGGATCTCTGTCCCAACAGCTCATGCTATGAAGAAGGCCTCCATCCAAGCAGACGTAAGCAGTAAATTCTGCTCTTTTACCCAGAAGCTTCTTTTTTTCTGGCCCTAAAAATGCTGGAGACAAAATAAATCTGTAATTTCCACTGAACTTGTACTGAGCCCTGCAAAAATCCTCACCAGGTCACCACCAGGACCAACTTCACAATGTGCAATGCCAAAAAGATTGTTAGCAAGAAAGTGGAAGGCCAGGGTCCCTAAGCGTAAAAAGGAAGCAGGGCCCCAGAGAGGTTTGCCCATGAAGAGATGCTGAAGTAGATGAAACACCAGGCTGGGAGGGACCACACAGCAAAACCGGTCCTCAATGTCATACCTTATATTAAAGGCTGTATCATAAAAGGTCTTTTGTGGTCCACAGGCAAAGGTTTTAATTTGGATACTGCTGTCATGAGGAATAAAAGGTCGGAACCATTGTACGCATTTAAATGAATTCTGAAAAAGTTAAATGAATTCTGAAAAAGAACTGAAGAAATCGGTTAATTAATTGGTTCGATAGTTTGAAAAGGAGTGGCGACCACTCTGGATTCTTCTCAATTCCCTATACATGGATCTCTTGATGCTGTTTTCCACTCCCAGTAGCTGCCGCACACCAAGGCCCGGCCACACCGGGGGTCCTGGACAAAGCACCTCTCGGTGACAGCTGCAGAGGGACAGTCACTGTCCTCACCAACGCTTCGCCAGGGGAGTGTTAGGTTGGATGTTAGGAAGAACTTCTTTACCGAAAGGGTTGTTAGACATTGGAACAGGCTGCCCAGGGAGGTGGTGGAGTCACCATCCCTGGAGGTCTTTAAAAGACGTTTAGATGTAGAGCTTAGGGATATGGTTTAGTGGGGACTGTTAGTGTTAGGTTAGAGGTTGGACTCGATGATCTTGAGGTCTCTTCCAACCTAGAAATTCTGTGATTCTGTGATTCTGAAAAATTTTTTATTCTTCGACATTTTTACTCAGAAGCCACTGAGGCACGACGACCCCACGGCCAGGAGCTTCCCGCGGCCCCTGACGGCCGGAGCGGCCCCGGGCTTTGAGGCCAAATCCCCCAGAAACGGCCAAAGCCTGCCTCCCCCGGCCGAGGGGGCGGCATCCCAGGAGCCCTCCCCGTGCCGGGGCGGCTCCCTGCGGGGCCAGGCCGGGCACAGCCCCCGCCTCGCCCAGCGCCGGGGCCGGCTGCTCCGCCGCCCTGCGGCCCCCAGGCGGCGGCGGCTGCTGCTGGGGGACGCCGAGGAGGAGCCGCCTGCGCGGCCCAGCGGCGGGCGGGCCGGACACGCCGGGCGAGGCTGAGGGAGGCGAGGCGAGGGGAGCACCGCGGGCCGCGGCGGTGACGGGGGAGCGGCGGCCATGGCCACCAAGGTGAGCGGGACCCGGCGGGGGAAGGGGGGGCCGTGAGGGGCGGCGGGCGGGGGGGGTGGCGGCCGCGGCCGGGGCCGGGGCGGCGCTGGCCGGGGAGAGGCCTGGGGTAGGCCGCGGGACTGGCCCCTGGAGGGGCTGCGGTGTTTTGTCGCTGCCCGGGCCGGGGAGGGAGCTGGGGGGGGGCTGCCGAAAGAGCCCTGGGTTTGCGGCGGGGTTTGGGGGTTCGGCCGGGTCCCTGCCCGCACGGACTCGGGTCCCACACAGCGCGCTGCTTGTGCTGGCTCTGGCCGTCTGAGGAGATGGCTGGGCGTGTTTTGGTGAACTTTCAGATGTGCTGCAGCTGGTCCGGGCTCAAAATCACGCAGTTAATTTTAAAAAGTATTAACACAGTGAAATTCTTGTTTTACACAGGGTCTGAGATATCGTTAATGTGTTTGTTTAGGATATTCTTAGAGTTTTATCCTTGGTAATTTCCACTGATTTGTGGGATGTGAGCGTGAATAACACGTAAACACCTTAACCCACCTACAGCAGGTAGCACCAAAACACCCAGGAATATATATATATAACACAGCACCCTGAGCAGACACTGTGCTAAAACAGCTCACAGCTCTTTCACCTGGCTCTGAGGTGCTGCATCCTCACGGGCTCACACGAAGCCGTTTTGCCCTGATATTTGAAAGCTTTCGCTTTGCTTTCCACGGAATAAATTTTTGTGGTCGTTACGGCCTCGCAATAAAAGGTGCGTCATTTCTTACTTATGAACCGGGGCTGTATGGAAATCAGGCGGTGTGAGGCTTTTTCATTCCACGTTTTGCAAGTTACAGCAATTTACTTGAGCTTGCGTGTTGAAATTGGGAAGTGATAGTCAAGACTTGGTATTTTTTTTATGTTGATACGCTGGTAACTGAGAGCATTGCTGGAGAGAAGCTTGCTTTATTTTCTGCAGGCTTCACCCATGACTTAGATCCCTCTCAGCTGCTGTGGGTTTTGCTTTGCTGAATTTATTGGAATGTCAGCTATAATAAAGGATACATTTTTGCAGCAGTGTAAGGGGGTGACTGGCTCAATGAATAGCCTTTAGAAACTCTGCCAAGTAACAAGTTACCATTTCACTTGGAAATTAAGTTTTGCTTTTTAAATTGTAAACAAACTTGCCACCTTCTCCTTGCTCTCCTTCCAAAATATCTTTGGAATTTAAAAGAAAAAGCTTATTTGGAGCCGCACAAGGAAATGTTAACAAAATTAAATTGTAACTAGTCACCTGGAGTCTGAGTTTCTGAAACTTTTACTAGCATTAAAAACTATATTAGCTTGTAGGGAGAACCAACAATCAGACTGCAGAGGCTATTAGTGCTTCCTGAATTAATTCCTGTTTAAACTAGAATATACCCTCCAAGAAGGAGGGGGAGAATTCAGTCTTAATTTGAACGCTTCCCGTGCTGTAAAGTCCAGCCTTTTTTTTTTTTTTTTTTTTTTTTTTTTTTTTTTTTTTTTAAACCATCAACTCTCTTGCTGTTGACACTGCTTGTTTTGAAGCTAAACCTGCCTAGCTTCTGTTTCCAGTTTTACCCATTTTTATTTATGCCTGCTAGGTTTACAAAGTCTCTTATCAGTGTTGGTGTTTCTGGGGATGGGCAAGGAGAAACTGGGGTTTCTTTCGTAACTTGTTTGTAAACTCCAGCTAGTTTTCTTGCCTCTCTCCTTGATAAACCATGTCAGTTGAGTTCCTAGAGTGCTCCAGTCTGATGTACTCTAGGAACTGAAGCACTTATGTGATTTAATCTCCTTGTCTCCTGCTCCTTCCCTGTGCAAGGAAGGGTCGTAGGCCCCACGTCCTCTGAAGGCCGTAGAGGTTGTTGCTGCTGTGAGCTGACCCAGCAGTCCCCACAGCTCCTTCTCCTTCCCTGCACTAGTCCCGTGCTCTCTGTGCAGGAGGTGACTCCAGCAAGGTGACTTATCAGGCATGTCCTCGAGCTGTTATAAGTTGCTAAAACAGCAAAAGATTACCTGAAGGAGAGCAGCGAGACAGTTTCATCCAGTTCCAGCAAGTAAAGTAGCTAAAAGTTTGCTCAGAGCTGATGAAAAGCTCTGGTGGTGTAAGGTATGTGTGGAGCGGGGCAGATTTTCATGGCGAAGGCTGCAAGTATAGCTGGAAAGTAAGAAACTGAGGATCTGAGGCTTCTCGTGGCAGTTACATCAGCTGGAGCCTTACTGTAACTTACTTGGCAGTGGTCTTTCTGATTCCCTAAAGTCTTTCACAAGGTCACATGCTCTAAAAGCTGAAGCATGTTTTAAATAAAAAAAAAAAAAAAAAAAAGGATTGTTTACGAGATCCTAACTTCCAAAGTTTTACAGTAACGTAACTGAACCTGACTTTAGAGGTAGGCCATTTCATATCCATGTTTAAGAACTGATGCATCAAGTTGCATGTGTTATTTTGGATGCTTCCATCAGAAATGGAGCTGAGCTTACAAGTTCCTTACTTTTAACTGTGCAATTAAAAGGTGAAAAGTTTCAGAGCTTAAAAGCATGTAATGAAGCTGAAAAACTTTTCAAAACTCAGTCACAAAGAAAATGCAATATTGTAAATGTGTTTCTCTGATGTTTGCTTGGAGAAGTTGCGTTCTGAATGCTTCTGTTTTCCTTCTTGCCTTCCCTGGACTTTCCTCTTTCCCAGCAGAGTTAGCAAAGTCCCAACTCTTACTCATGTCCTTTCTTTTGGTTTTGAGATTCATTGCATAGGGAGAGCTAGAAATCTCAGGAAGCGTTCTGCTGACTTTGAAATAACATGCTCCCTACCTTGGGCTATTTTTAGAGGCATTTGTTTAAAAGTGCAGGCAAGTCCATTTCTTGATAAGGCCGAAGTTTTGCCCTTTGAGAGGCTGGCGTTTCAGGAGCGGGCACAGGTATCAAAGGAAGCTGGCAGGTGAGCGCACATTGGTGGTCAGGACAGCTCTTCTGGAACCTGTGCCACTAATTAATGTGCAGTAAGAGGTTTAATCTCAAAGCTGGAGATGAAATAGGAGCTGATAACCTCTAATTTCTAGGAGCTGTGCTATCGAAGCAGGTGACATTACTTCCATAAGATTGCCATTCCACACGGAGCAATACACCTGTATCCCACCATGATGCTCTTGGCTGTTCAGTGGTCTTCAGGAACTCAGTTTTGTCTGGTTCTGGTTATAGGACTGGGCCCTTTTTCATGGGAAGAAGACTCTTTAGGTGAAAGCTATTAAGCGGGATATTCCGTTCTTATAAGAAGATGTAGCTTAGCTTTTTTTTTAATACATAATATTTTGTTGTTTAAAGCTTTTTGTCCATCTAATGGCCTTGGAATAGACTTTGTGAATGTCATTAACCAGGTATAATTGAATTCAGCATGGTTCTTCTAATTGTCTTGAGTGGAGCTCACTTTACATATGAGAATTTCAGATAGAAATAAATATCAGTATTTTAGACTTCAGTAATAGGAAGGGTTATCTTTAATTTTTCCATTCCTGTACTCATGTGAGGCTCACCAAAAGAAGCCTCACATTTTCATTTGTGCTGTCGTGAAGCTGTCTGTGTGTTTACTTTATGAATCAGGCAGAAACAATTCTTTGTTCTGATTTGCAGCTGGGAAGTGAAATATCCCTCTGCGCCGAGTGCTCCAAACTACCCAAACTTTGTGCTGTGCAAGTCTGCCTTCTGTGTTGTAACTTTGACAGCAGTAAGTCTCTCCTAGGAAACTGTATTTTGGGAAAATGTTGAGTTAATCAATCTTAATGCTATCTGTGAGTTGGAAAGAACTTAAACTGTGCAGATCACTTCATACCCTAGCCAGCATGTTCCACTGCTCAAATTCAGCAAAGTAAGACTTGATCAACCACAACTTCATTCTGTGCATTTACAAGTGTGGGCTGTGACGGAACAAAACTGATTAGGTTAAATAGTCATTTCAGTTTAATGGTCTTACTCACATTAGAAGTTGTGGGTTTTGTTGTTTTTTTCTGCTAAGCTATAATTAAATAGGTATAAAAATATTTCATTTATTTTTTTTAGGGGCAATGAGAGTACAAGAGTGGGTGAAAATGCTTGGTAATGCAAATTTACTTTAAATATCTGACCTGTTGATATAGTGAGGTGTTAGTATGAGGTCAACCACACAAGAACTGACACTGAGACATTTTATTAAGATGCAGTTTTTCTGTTCTTTTGCCTTTGGCTTTCTGATCTTTTAAAAGTTCAGTGATAAGTGGGTTACTTTACATCCCAGCAATTATTAGTGCAAGGCTTCTTGTTTGACAGCCGGCTGTTGGGCTAGGAAGCGGGCGAGTTGATGGGGCTCTGTATGATGCTATGCTTGGGTAATGATTCCTCTGACTCAATTTTTCAAAGTTATTTTAAGCACCTGGGCATTGAGTCATCAGAGGCTCATTACCAGAGGTCGTCACTTTAAAGTATGATTACAGTAGTGAAGGAGGAGGAAATCTGGTATCAGATGCTATCGTGTTTCATGGTTCATCTGGTTTATATGCTCAGTGATTCAGATTTTCATGCTGGTTGAATTTTTCCATGTATCAGTAATGTTTGAGCAGTAAGTCCTTAAAGTTAACTGGGGGTTGGTGATAAAGTTTCTTTGACTCCATTGTTTCAACGTTTTTCTTTGGGAGTTGTCATCTCTTTCAGAACCTTTGTTTTTAAAGTCTTTGAAAATCTGCTTAAATTAGAACATCCGCACATTCTTCTGTCTATGAAAACTTCCTTATTTGATTAGGGTATCTGGCAAATTTCAAAAATCGAAGTTTACAGAGAGGCAAAGGGAACGTATATGGGAATTTTGCTGTTTTAAGGATATCACTTCCCTCCTATATTGCATTTACCCTCAATTGCAACATTGCTGTTGGAAGCAGGCTTGCGAAAGATTGCAAAAGCAGGTAGCAGAGCCTGTAAAATAGTGGGAGTGATTTGTTTCAGCCAGCACTGCAGTAAAACAGATTAAATAATCCTGGATATCT